AAAAAAAAAAAAAAAAAGTATTGCCTATGCACTCTACAGAGAACAGGTCAAGGTCTATATACACTTCAGGAAAATCCAAACGAGAGTAGGAAAGAGCACGCACATCCCAGTGCACTGGAGAGGCACGAGGCAGGCAGGAGCCAGGTGCAGGGCAGGGAGAGCGTTGGCACGTGTACAAAGTAAGACAGGAACAGGCTGCTGCAAGCTAACAGCTTCTCTTTAAATTAAAAGCACCACATACACACAAGTCCTTTGTGTCACATCCCATAGCACTCATCACACAAGCTCCAAACACACAAGCAGGCATTCCCTTCCCATACAACTTATAAAAAAACCCAAAAAACACCAAAAAAAACAACCACCACCATGCATGTGGAGCTTCCCACAGTGCCATTTGTGGCAGGCTGGTTGCTCTGGAGTCTTCCTGAGGACAAAAGCAGTTGAGATGTGTTTGAGAAACAAAACAACTCCTGTGGATCTGTTTGTTGGAGAGAGCATGGCCCCTTCTGGCTGGAAGTGGGGGAAACACCACCTCTGGGTGAGAGGAGGGTTTTTCTAAAGCAAGGAAGAAGTGTTCTTTTTCTAAAGCAAGGAAGAAGTGTTGCTTTTTTTATGTCCAAGTCAAAGCCAGGGACCTGTTGTTTTTTTTGGTGTTTTTTGGGTTTTTTTATAAGTTGTATGGGAAGGGAATGCCTGCTTGTGTGTTTGGAGCTTGTGTGATGAGTGCTATGGGATGTGACACAAAGGACTTGTGTGTATGTGGTGCTTTTAATTTAAAGAGAAGCTGTTAGCTTGCAGCAGCCTGTTCCTGTCTTACTTTGTACACGTGCCAACGCTCTCCCTGCCCTGCACCTGGCTCCTGCCTGCCTCGTGCCTCTCCAGTGCACTGGGATGTGCGTGCTCTTTCCTACTCTCGTTTGGATTTTCCTGAAGTGTATATAGACCTTGACCTGTTCTCTGTAGAGTGCATAGGCAATACTTTTTTTTTTTTTTTCCCCCGCCCCTTCTTTGCCTGAAACCAGACTCTAGGGGTGGTGACAGGAATATGATTGTCTTCCCCAGTGCCACTGGTATCCCCAGGGTGAGCTGCTGAGGTGTAGGAAGGGCTGGTAGGGAGAAGGGCAGCGAGTGCCGTTCTGTTCACTGCAGCCTTCACCGCGTGTGCCGTCACAGCCGTGCCTGGCTCAGGCTCTTGGCACTACCTCTGCCTGTCGCAGGGCCTCAGAGGCAGTTGTGAGGAGCTGATGTGCTGGGAGCTCGCCACTCGTTAGCAGCCTGGCAGCACTGAATCTCCAAAGCCCAAATTGGCAGCTTCATCCTCATCTTACAGCCTCCAAACTGTAATTTCAATGTAATTTCTGAAACATGGTTTCAACACAACTACTTTATTGTAAGTTTTGCTGCAGGAGCAGGGGGCTTAATTGAAAAATCATGTAATGTCCCCCAGCCCCTCTCTTGTTGCTCCTTACATTCAGTGGCACTATTAAACCTTGTGGTGTGGAGGGACCACGGCAAGGCACTGAGGAGTTGTTAGTTTTTGAGTCGGATCATTAAGTTGGCAAGCAGGTTTGAAGTGAAAGGCCACCTGCAGCAAGATGTGGTCAGTCACAGGTCTGTGTCCTGTGTGATAGGGCCCTGTCAGGCAGCAGAGCCTGGGGGTGGGTGTTTGCACCGGGGTGGAGGTGGTTGGTAACTGCTGCTGTGGATTTGCTTGTGTTGTGGATTGTCTCCTGCCTAAATCCTGACATGTGGAGCCCCAGGAGATGCTGCTTTCTCCTCCAGGAAGAAATAAATGGTTGGGGTGGGGGCACACGGGGGCGCTCAGACATGGAGTGGTTTCACGCGGGTTTGTGCCCGCTCTGGAGCAGGAGGAGGGAGCTGGGCAGTCCTGCAGTGCAAGGGCTGAGCTGCCCCGAGGCTTCCACAGGGCTGGCGGGTGTTGGGGTGGGTTTGTGGGTCACCCTGTGGCATGGGTGCTCTCCCCAGAGGAGCCCCAGGAACTGCTCTGGGCTGTGCTGCATCCACAGCTCGGCGCTCCCCCTCTCCCAGCATCCGGGAGCAGTGGAGGGGGCACAGCCCCTCGTTGCTCTGTGCCCACATCATTCTCCTCTCTTGCAAGGGACTTTCACAAACCACATCTCTGACTTTTCTCACTTCAGAGCTGCCTTGGGAGCAGGTTGGCTCGTGGCGACTTCTCTCATTGTGCTTGGCAGTGAGGGCTAGCGATTCCCAAGCCATGGCTGGTCTGCGGCTGAGTGTGTTGGCTAACGAGCACGGCGAGGATGAGCTGTTCGGATTGACTTAGCTGTTAAAGCATGGCACAGACTCCTTCCCCCACCCCGCTCGCAGCTACCGAGGCAGGAGTGGCGTTCCCAGAAGTGCTCTCTGCAGGTCTTCTGCCCTGAGAGTGTGTGGTGGGGGGGTGTGCGGGTGTCTGGGCTCTCGGAGGCGGGCGCCGTGACGCTGTTGTCTGGCTGTGGGCGCGGTAAATGGGGAAAAGAGCAAAGCTCATGGAAGTTTGTATTTTCGATGTGTGTGACCTGTGAGCCCTGAACAGTGCGGGCGGGTGGAGCAAAGGGCCCTCCCAGAGTTTGTGTGATAGTTTGCGACCTTGTGGCATTGTTATATATAAGGCATTATATGGTGGGAAAAAAAAAAACAGAGCATTGTAACTTTTCCATGTAAACAATCTAACTGGCATTAAACAAGGTGTGAATTTGTCTCTTAGGCTTGGTAGCTCCTCTTTGCTTTTCCACAGTGAGGTGAGGGGTGCGGTGAGTCCCTGGGGGCCCCGGAGCTGCCTGTGGGGTCCCTGCAGCAGCTGCACCTGCTCTGGAGGTACCAGCTTTCTCCCCGCAGGTCTTGCCTCTGGTTTACGGCTTCTGCCTGCCCACTCGTGTTTGCTTTCCTGCTGATGGAAAACGAGGGAGGCGCAGACCCAGCCCTCCCTGCCCTGCCCCTGTTCCCCACTGTGGGGCAGGGAGGGATCAAAGGTGCCCCTGCCCAGGCACAGCCCTCGGGGGCGGCTGCAGCGGAGCTGTGGAGCAGGGGCAGCGCAGGCCCCGGCTTCTGCAAAGCACAGGAGAGGTGGAGGGTCCTGCTGCCCCTGCACAGGGGGGACCCTGGCCAGGGGGAGGAGAATCCCCGGCACCTCCTGTGCCATGGCCACAGCCACTCCAGTGGCCAAACTTGCCCTGCAGAACCACCGGGGAGGGGATGGGCGGTGAGGGACCTGGTGGGGGGCAGTGGGTGCCGGGTGGGCGATGCTGCAGCGTGCTACCCAAGCTCTCAGCCCTGCCTGGGAGGGGGCTGCGTTTGCAGCTCGTTTTGGGGACAGGTGACCCCCCGCCCACCCCTCCCGAGGGCTGGGGTCACAGAGGTGCCGGCAGCGCACGCTTTCACCCGCTGGGAGCTGCATGGCCCCAGCTCAGGGCAGCACAGGCAGGAGACTCTGCCCACTGCAGCCACACCTGGGGGTGCTTTTTGCCCCCCTCCCTGGTCGGGGTCCTGCACCACCCCTCCAGAGGATGCAGAGGGCTGTGGCCAGGTCCGGAGCTGCGGGGTGAGGATGCTCAGTGCCCCGTTCTGCCCCACGGGGGCTGCCCCTGCCAGGGGACGTGGGGGCTGCTGCCACCACTCCCATCCCCAGCCCAGCCCAGGGCCCCGGGGCCGCACCTCCCGCTGCGAGTCCTCCTGCCAACCATTTCCCGGCTTACCAGAGGCTTCCCGAGGATTTCCTCATTGCTCAGAGAGGCTGAAGGGCTCCAGCTGTTGTCCTGGACAAGGAGAGATGAAGGGTGGTGCCAGGGGTACAGAACCCCTGCGTGCCTGGCCCCAGCCTGGCCCAGCACATACCTGCAGGTGTCCGCAGACCGACTTCAGGAGCTGGTATGTGGCCTCCCGCCGGCGCAGTGACACGAAGAGAAACTGCCAGGGAGCAGGAAAAGAGTTTGTGGCAGAGCTGCTCCCTTGGTGATGGCCCAGAGCCCATTAACTTCTGGGACCAGGACACCCCACATATCCCCGGGCTGAGCTGCCCCCCCAGCACCATCCCTGTTCCCACTCTCACAGAATCACAGAAAACTCTTGGTTGGAAAAGCCCTTTAAGATCCTCCAGCCCAACCATGACCCCCACCCTGACCCTTCCCAACTCCCCCAGACCCCTCAGCGCTGGCTCAGCCCGACTCTTCAACCCC